CTATGAATATCGTGCAGCCTGTGCATGTTTCCACCCTATCTGCGTATGACCATGACTGTATTATCATCACCTATGATTAAGGATTCCCGTGATCGCATCTCCTTCTGAACTGCTGCCTGGAACTCGTATATTCTCCTCGATTGGCAGTTTGTTGGTTATTGAACATCCGATGTGTTCACCACGTAAAGCTTCAGTTTTCATCGGAATCCAGATTCCTTATACCGTTTGGATTTTAAGTCTTATGAGAATACTTCGGTTTCGTTGCGGACTGCGTTTTCCGCGTTGAGGCTTGTTTTTTTGCGAAAATGATTGCCCGAATATCAGGTCAGGCCTAGGCGTTCGAAGGCGTGATGACGTTATAATCCAATGACTGTGAATTCCCTCCTTACTCCTGCGTTGTTCTGTGCGCAATTTTATGGTTATCGGAAGTCAAAACAGTCTAATATGTAATCTTCTTCCAAGAGTTTATGCAAACTAGTTATGTCGCCGTTTTATAACTGCCTGTGACTGGTTAATACCAAGACGTTTTTCTTGAGCAGATGGTAGTGACGCGAATAAGCTAACATAGGGCACGGTAGTAGCAGCCTGAACATTTGCATTACGCTTGTCACTTCTTTACTGTTTTTCTGATTAAATTGTTTTCTCGTTCTAGAGGAAAAGCAAGAGCATCCCTCCTAGTCTACTGCGCACTATCAGCTTTTTCCAAAAATCTTCCCTGCACCTTATTTTTGTACGAAAATATTCGGGCAAAGCGATATTAAATTATTTCTCAATGAAGACTTTTGCTTTATGTTCTGGTGTTCTTACAATTAGGGGACGAGACGCAAGAGTTTTAGCCCGATGACTATTCTCTTAAGTAACAATTCCATCGCGTCTCGCATACTTACTTGTACTTAATGGTCGAGAATATGCAAGGCCCAGGTTACTGAATAGAAGAATGTAAGATGTTCTCTGGGAGACGGGGTTTATTTGTCCGCACAAACGCAGCTGCGTGCGAACGCTATATCGCCGTGTAGAAACCCACTGCAGCGAACTAGCTGACAAGACGGCCGAGGTTCTGTATCTGCGGAAACGTTGCCTGGCGCAGGTGAGGAGCCAAGCGAAGAAAACCATCGGGAAAGCCAGAACCGACACGCTGGCGATAAATACCCTATAATGCTGGTGTTTCTGAA